TAGAACAAAAATTGTTGCATATATTGTGAAAAATTTGCTGTGCCAATACTTTGTTCCGGCAGTGTAGATTTTTTAAGCTTAAACTGTTTTGTCATCTGAGCGGATTTTTTCCAAAAAATCCTTTAAGAAACTATTTTGACTACAAAAAGAAAAATTTCCCTTTTTTTTGGTTTTGTACCAATAACCGAATATAAAACTGTACCAATCTGTACAAATGGACCTATCGAGTGCCACTGCCTTAAAAATGTATGCAATTAAAAAAAAATTAACAAATTTTCGTAAAAACTTCGTTTTTTAATTAGATTCTGAGTATGCAGTTTGATTTCTAGTAAATAAAATAAAGTACAAGTTTCAAATGGCTAAAAACTACGATTTATTTTTTAGAATTCTTGGAAAAGATCGAAATTTGTACGAACATTTTTTGATTTTTTTTTAATATTGCACAAATTTGGTAACTTGAATTCAAGCGGTTTTTTTTTAAGAATGAACTATATTTTTATAAAAAAAATAACCAAAATTAAATAACAACGAAAATAATACGTTAAAACTTGGCAAAAAGTGGTTCGGCTATAATTTCTTGATAACTTTATGTATTTTTTAATATCTTTAATGGGACATGCACATTGTACATAACAAAATTAAAAAGTATATGCATTTTTTCAATGCCCCTTTTTTCCTTTTTCCAAGTTTCTAGTGCATTAAAATCCTACATTTCTACATTTCGGGGGGGGGAGGGGTCAGAATACCTACAACCCCCCCTAAATACGGTCTTGCGTACTACCAGTGCTCGTTTGGTTGTGCCAATGCATGATGCAATAATAACTTTTCGCTCTAATTCCGCCATATTGACTGCCTTAGGTGAGACAGTGGTACTTCTTTAACAATTCTTTGTCTAATAATATAGTTGAATAGTTTTTTATTTTTTCTTAGTATACACATTTTTTTTTCTTAAAAAGGTATTATATCTTATCTTCTTTCATTTCATTACGAATATACTATAAAAAGCAAATTTTGTTTAGGAAAAAATGTGAAATTTTATATTTTTCCCCCAAATGGGGCTTAATTTCTTCCCGTTTTTCTTCTCATTCTACTGAGCTAAGGCAGTGTCAAATCGAGCTGTCACAATTGATACCACTTGTATTATTGCATCATGGTTAGGGCTGCTAGACTTCCCGGTTTTCCCGGACATGTCCCAGTTTTAGACTATTTGTCCAACCTTAAAATGTCCCGGGTTTCGTTTAAGTGTCCCGGTTTTCGATTTGATTGCACAAATTTTGCATAAAAATGACTACACTGAGAGATAAAACGCGTTGTAATATTAAGAAAAATTGTATGAATTTACTGGGGGAAATAACGCATAGTAAACATGAATATTTTTTATTTGATTATCATTTTAAAATTTTCGTATTTAAAAACAATACTTTCATACCACGCACACGTGGTGTTGAATCAAACTGAACATTTGAATGCTGGCTCTCTCTGTTGCCAAACCGGGGCACTTAAGGGGGGGAGAGGCCTCTCGCTCCCTTCCCTTTCGTTTCGACAAAAATTACGTACGAAAGGATGTAGTAAAATTTTATTTTGACAAACAAAAACAAAAACATAAAAACATGCGATCATGAGATCATTACAACGTACACTAGCAAAACAAAACAATTTATCACAACTAAAGCACAGAGAATTTTTCACAATGCATGTACCTTTTTTGTTCCTTATAAAAATACAGTTTATACTAAATACATCAGAAAACATAAAAATAAAATTTCTAAACTTTGTGGAAAACTCGGGAAAATGCAATAAATTTGCATACAAATTCGCAACTTTCTATTCAGACTTTTTTATAAAAATTTTGAAAATTAAGTTTTGCTGCCCATAAAAATTTAGTTGATTTTTGGTATTGTTTTTACTGAGAGTTTCTTCCATACAGACTATGTTGGACATTTTTTTGTATGTGGAAGACACTGTCTGCAAAAACTAAATAATTGCAAAAAATCAACGAAATTTTCTGGTAACTTCAGACTTGCACTTTACTAATTGGCTCAAAAGCTACATTTTCAAAACTTGTGATCAGATGAAAGAGTCTCCGAGCCAATAAATTTGTACGGCTCGGTACTTATAAGTAATCAAAAATTTAAAAAAAGAATTTAAAAAAAAATTCTCATATGAAAGAGCACCAACCCAACTCGTAATAAATTTAAGTATACAAATTTTAGTATTTAGTATAGAAATATTCAATTCAAATACGCCAATATTAAAATGAACGTATTCTTTTTTATAATTAAGTTAAAAAAAATATTTAAATTCCATGCTGCCTGTAATGGGATTTGAACCCTGACGCTCTGGAAATTAGCAATTTGTGGCAAGCATCTTCGTGCACTCCTGACATGTGCTACAGCCAGACATGTAAATGTGCATTCAAATGTTCAGTTTGATGCAACACCACGTGTGCGTGGTATGAAAGTATTGTTTTTAAATACGAAAATTTTAGAACGATAATCAAATAAAAACTATTCATGTTTACTATGCGTTATTTCCCCCAGTAAATTCATACAATTTTTCTTAATATTACAACGCGTTTTTTTCTCTCAGTGTAGTAATTTTTATTGAAAATTTTTGCAATCAAATCGAAAACCGGGACACTTAAACGAAACTCGGGACATTTTAAGGTTGGACCGGGACAAATAGTCTAAAACTGGGACAAGTCCGGGAAAACCGGGACGTCTGGCAGCCCTATTTGTAACACAAATCATTTACTGACAGAAGGAAAAAGAACTTTGTTTATTCCAAAAATACAATTAAACAAATATTTTTACTTATAAAAAGTCTAACAAAATATAGGGAAAGCGTCTAACTGCTCAGCAAATTGGACATAGCGTTTTGTATGCATTTTGTCTGCATGCTTTTTAATACATATGTTGAAAACATTGCAGGAAAAGCTTAAAATGTTTGCATGGAACCATGGCGCAATAAATGAAGTAATAAAACAGCTTTCTTGCTTTATTTTTCGACATTCGGCTGCCTTATATTCAAATTTTAAAGGCAATTTTTCAAATAAGGCAGTGTCAAAATCTTTCTTCTCTAATTACATACTTCACCCGGTATAGTTCCGCCATGGCAACAAAAATTGCCGTTCCTGTTCGCAGCATATATTCTTCAGGTAAAATTTCTGCATTATCATCACTTGGTATCTCCGAACTGTGGACTTCGCTTAAAGCAGTTTTAGAAGTGAGCTAGTGTCATTTTATTATTTTTTTTTTTTTCTAAAGGTTATAATGCCACCAGTTCATCAGCGGGGGATACGAGTGCGACGTCGAAAGCGGCGCATCGCGCGAACGCGGACCGCCGCGACGTTGGGCACTTTCAATAATAATAATAATAATCCCAACGGTTTTTACCCTCCATTCCCGCCCATCCGCACGAGGGGCGCAGTCTGCATGACGTACGGAAACCAGTATTTTCAATTTTTGCGCCGAGTCACGATAGCCAGGAGTTTGTTAAGTGTCGAGATCTAAAACTGTTCAGCTACAGAACTAAATTCATCAGCCGATTTTATGTCTTTATTTTAATGATTCATTTATTGAGAGAGACAGTGTCGATTTCTTAATGCTGAAAAGCGTTAAAATCCTGGCATAAGCAACGGAGTGGGTCGTGCAATTCAAAATTAGTTTTACAAGCTTTCAGAAATAGGGGACAAAAGTGTATTGATACCCGGGAGGGAACATTAAGGCTAAATTCGCCCAGAAGAAATTGTACACTTACAAATCCGTCCACTTAACTTGTTCATGTACTACTTTTAGTCAAATGTAACTGGGTGACTACCTATGTGCACTTGTTAAGTTTAAAAGTTGGTCTTATTGCTCAACGAGAAAGGTAATAAAGCAAATTTGTGTTATTTCCCATTCTGTTGGGAAATAACACAAATTTGCGTTATTGCCGTTGGTGTTATTTCAATATTTGTGTGTAACCGGGCACAGGCTTGTGTGAAAGCTCTAATTTCTTGACATGAACTTTGCGCCGGAACAGCCTCTGAAACGGCACTTAGAATTCTTGAGGACAGCATCAAGCTGGGCAAAGACACCTTCCCCATTAAGGGTTCGGACATTCTAGATACACGCCCTCAACTGGTAGTGCTTTATGCGTTCGCAGTGGCTGTCATCTAAAGAGTTCACGTTTATGTAACGAGCCGCTGGCTCCAAGGCACACGTCCGCTTGCACCGATTGCTAACTGCATCACGAGCGAACGGCCTAAGAAAATGAATTGAGTATGGTCGTGCAATTAAAACTGCGCACCCTAAACAACTAATTTACAGGCTAATAAAATTAAGGGAACGTTAAAATCAAGGCGCATTCATATAAGGTAGTAGCAAGCACATATATGTAAGTAAAAATCTCGTGTATTTATTATTTATTTATTATTTTGATACTTTAGGATGCCAAAACGAAAGAAAATAGGAAATATGTAATTTTCGTCATTTCATTTTGTTGACACCCTAGAGTTACGCCATTTCGTCTTGGCTGACATTCTATCGTACCAGTATAAGACAAAAATTTCAAATCAGCTGTTCTAGTAACACTACCTTATATAAATTCACCTGGTTAAGATAAATAAATATTTTGCTGTAACTTCAGTAGGGTAGAATGCTTTATAAAAGTGTGGGTTGCGCGATGCGTAAACACATCTTTAAAAAAGACGTCGACATTATACATGATCATTGATGATTAAGTTTTAAGTTAACACACAACACATTAAAACAACGAACAGGTTCCAATTTGTTATCTTCATTATCTAAACGCTTTGTCGATGGCGACATGAATTTGTATAAGTTTGACATAAAAGAAGAGGAAGAACCTTATCTGCCGTTTGAAAAATATAAATAGATCTAATCTAGCCACAGCCACATAATTATCTACATAAGAATACGTGGAAAAATAATTTGACAGATGTGGTCCGTAGCTCGGCGTTTTCATTTCGGCTAAAAAAATAAGGTAAGAGTACGTACCTAACGGGAATGTGATGTAGTCGCACATTCCTAGTAATTGACCAAAGCAGATCACTTTATCTTCCGGTGATATTCCGATTTCTTTCATCCTTTCAATGGCAAATCGCACGGTGTCCTCGTTGTGTGAAGCGACCATAATACCAATCTTTTTAGCATCCTCTCCGCTGTCCTTAAGTAACTGTTAACATCAACAAAAACAACATTACAATAAAAAAAACAGGGTCATTAAATGTATATTTATTTACCTTTATTCGTCTCAGGCATTCAGTTAACGTTTGGTGGTACATATCAGTGGTCGCCTCATAATTGGGACAGATCGGGTCTGGGTAATCCATGCTGGCAGCACGTTCGCGCTCTTGCTCAATATAAGCTCCGCGTACCAATTTAGCACCAAAATAGAAATTCTGGCGTTTCGCTTGTTCCAAATCGGTGCACACCTGGAAGAGTTTAAGTGAGCAGTATTCATATACATAAGTCTTATGACTTAGGCCCAATTCCAGATTCGCTATTTAAGTAGAGATTGTTGATTAACTTCAAAAATTCGTTTTCAGATAATTTCATTAAACTGCACTTAAATGGTTAATACTGGCTATTTAAATATGATATATGTTAGCAACCCTCTGTTTATACCAAACAACAAGCAGCTGTTCAGCACAAGATGTAAACAAACAAATGCAACAACAATTTTAAGAAACAAGCAACAGTGTTGCCACTTGTTTGGCGTATTTAAATAAAGGTTATCCAGAGCCAACGTAAGCTAAATGACATTTAAATGACAATCCAAAATTTAAATTAAGTGCCATTTAAATTTTCATCTGAAACTGGCCTTTAATATTGCGAAGCTATGAATAGTTTGTACCTCCTTGAATGCTTCACGTAAGTAGCATTGATAAGTGTTGAATACGATCGCCTTTTCTTTATTGTACTTTCGCATCATTTCTAAAGTAATGCGCGAGATGGCAGGCTGGAAGTAGGTCTGTTCTGCGTCAATCATTATGCGGACATCCAGCTCAGCTGCAGCCTGTAATTCAGAAGTGAATAAGTACAAAAGTAGTATGTTCAAAAACTTTATAAAACTAAAGTCATTGAAAAATAAATGTACCTTAACAATTGTATTGACGCGTCGAATCATATTCCTAAACATTTCTTCTTCCTTGGGCGGAATTTGTGAGATCAATCGGCGCATTTGTCCTGTTTGTGGGTCCGGAACGCGGAAAGTATCACTTAATTGGGAATCTTCGTCCACAATACCCGACCAGGGGAATAAGTGAAGAATACTTTAATCCAAAACGAGAATTTACATATTACATAGGTCCATTTTCACAGTGACTAGTTAACCCACAGTCGGCAGTTAACTACCGATTTTCAGTACTAAAAATGTGAAAGTTAACTGCCGGATGTGAGTTAACTATGCACTGTGAAAACGGCCCATACCCTGCAAAAATTTGAGGACCAGGTGGTCCGCTGGGTCGTAGTTTTAAAGTATGAGCTCAAGGACCAGGTTGCATACTAGTAACTTGTTATGCTGACCTGGACCACTTCAAACGTAAAAAACTGATATATGTGTTGAACACCACCTCTTCGTGGCCGATCGGCAATATGATTCCGTTGCCGAATGTGCCATGGTTCAAAAGGAGTAGTTGTCTAAGTGGTCCCATGTTATGCAGTGGTGGACCAAAAGTGGTCCCATGCTATGCAGCGTTGGACCAGAGGTGGTCAGGTCCAATGACATCGCAATGTTAATGTAACCATATTTTCTCCATATATTTGGACCATTTTGGTTACTAGTGTTGGTTACAAGGTAGTGTGGTCCTGTACTAGTACTTAACCTAGTCCCACTTTTTGCAGGGTAGTTACTCATACATACATATGCATGTACATACCAGGGATGGAAAGTCGAAATTTCAAATTGTACCTAATTTGACAATAGAAATGTACCTTTTTGCTGTCAAATGTACCTAAAAAATAGCCCACGATTTTGTTAACTTTTTTATTATTTTCAGACAATTGGTAACAATTTAGGGCCATATTCATAGTGCGTAGTTGACCACAGATAAGAGTTTAACTATTGATTTTCATATTCACAACGCTCAGTTAACAAAAGTTTAAACCAGCATGCCCATAGTTAAACTCATGTGAAATTTTTTATTTTTTTTGTGGAACGAATTTCAAATTTGAATAGAAAAGTATTGATTTTTAGAATTTGTATATTTTCAGGCGATATGAATTTCTATAGTTAACTTTGTGACTCTGAATATAAATTCAAAGTTAAACTCTTGTTGGTAGTTAAGTTAGCAATCGTTTTACTAAGCACTGTGAATCTGGCCCTTAATATTTAATACATTATTTGCATTAACAAGAAAGTGATTAATATATCTATACTAGAGTAGTTCATAAAAACACTCTTTTTGGAAATTCATAAACGCTACATCAGAATATTGTTATTTGTGATAAAAAAAGAGACACGTATTTTTTTATTTTGAAAAAAAAGTTTTCTTAGAGGTCGCGCTGGTCGGTTTTTTTATAAAAACGCTGATGTTCTCAATCTTTTTATTTTCTTGACATGTTAAAATGCAGCTAAAAATGTGGTCTTTACATATAATTACTCTGGTATTATTGGGGAACTTTCCCTTAATTACATCTCTTGGACAAGTAGAATGGGTCTATTTAGTTCCCGAAAATATGCTCTCGAAAAGACACCATTAAAATTAAAACGTTGATACTGAACGATTTACGCATTTTGATGAGTTGAAACTTGTTGCCAGGGGGTTTCTGGGGTTGCTAATTAGGAATCTGACGTCAGTTTTTCGAAATTCAAAATGGCGGATCCAAAATGGCGGTCCATTTTTTTTTTAATGATTGGATTTGTTCGAAACCCGGCACTCGAGAGTTTTTGTGGTCGTCGATTACGAATCTGAAGTAAATTTTTTCAAATTCGAAATGGCGGATCCAATATGGCGATCAAATTAAAACAAAGTACTAAAATTAAAACGTTGATACTGAACGTTTTAAACATTGTCAAGGGTTAAAACACGTTTCCAGTGGGTTTCTGGGGTTGCCGATAACGAATCTGATGTCAAATTTTCAAAATTCAAAATGGTGTATCCAAAATGGCGACCAGCTTAAAAAAAATGATTGGATTTGTTTGAAACTCTTAACCGCCATTTTGAATTTTGAAAATTTTACATCAGATTCGTAATCAGCAAACCCAGAAACCCACTGGAAACGTGTTTTACCCCTTGACAATGTTTAAAACGTTCAGTATCAACGTTTTAATTTTAATACTTTTTTTTAATTTGATCGGCATATTGGATCCGCCATTTTGAATTTAAAAAAAAAATAGACTTCAGATTAGTAATCGGCGACCACAAAAACTCTCGAGTGCCGGGTTTCGAACAAATCCAATCATTTTATAAAAAAATGGACCGCCGTTTTGAATTTCGAAAAACTGACATCAGATTCCTAATTAGCAACCCCAGAAACCCCCTGGTAACAAGTTCCAACCCATCAAAATGCGTAAATCGTTCAGTATCAACGTTTTTTCGAGAGCATATTTTCGGGAACTAGACCCATTCTAATTGTCCAAGATAGGTGTGTAATTAAGGGAATGTTCCCCAATAACACCAGAGTAATTAAATGTAAAATGTAGCTGCATTTTAACATGTCAAGAAAATAAAAAAATTTAGAACATCAGCGTTTTTATAAAAAACCTACCAGCGCGACCTCTAAGAAAACTTTTTTTTCAAAATAAATAAAATAATGTAAAAAAAAATATTTTTTAAAAACAAGCTTTTATTTAACATGTACAATCAAAGGAATAAAATAAAGTAGTCTAACAAAAGATTTTTTAACAAGTAAATTTTGTCAAAACTGCACTAAAATGAATAAAATAAAATAAGTTAAGGTCTCGTTAAAGTTACTAAAAGCCATTTAGTGAAAGGAGTTATTCAAACTCTAATGAAAATTACTAACAATTTGTACTAATTTAGTTCGTTTTTAAAAAAGCTTGTCGCGCGAGTAGCAAATCTGCATTTAAATATCTGCATACATACCTATACATACCTAACCATTTATGCATGTACGCTGAATTCGCCGACAAGCTTTTTTAAAAACGAAGTAAAAAAATAACATTTCAATTCATTTTTGTGAAATCCTTTGCGTGCACTTCTTTTTCTCAACTAAAATTTTCTAATTTATGAAGGCTATTCAACTGGTTTATCTTGTTTTATCATTGCACTTTTGTTTGGAAAATGTAGTTTTATTTATTGCTAAATGTGAATGATTAAAAGGTATGACACCTTTTTTGGCACTTTTATTTTTCTATTTGGCACATTTTGGCACTTTTTTATCCTCAATATGGCACCTCATAACTAAGGATAGTTGGCAGCCCTGATTGGAAGATATCTGCTGTGTTTTGGCCACCACTTGTCTGCAGTAAAAAAGCATATAATTTGTGTTTCAAAAGTGTGTGAAAACCAATCAATTAACTTATGTATATGATCTCGGTTCCGATATTAAATAATCAATAATTGTTTATACCCGCATTTTGGCACATTGGCTCGTTGAATACGCCATCTAGTGTCGTCGTTCTCCTTAGCGGCTTTTAAATGATGTCGTCACAAATTGCTGGCGGAGACATGAATACAGTGTAAGAAAATTATTTTTCTATAATTGTTTCCTTATAGAAAGGTTGGTTTCTTTTCCACCTCAGACATTCCGAATTCGTTCAAAATATGCTAATTTAAAACACAGAATTCTTTCAGTGTTCCTCCGGGGTTTTTGGACATGGACTGTTTCTTCAATTTAATAGTGTTCGCTTTATTTTTGTGGAAACGAAACATGTTTTGCAAGTTATGGATCATTTCTACACTCTTTCTCCAAATATTTCTCGTATTCCAGCTGTGCACAGGCGTTTAGTTTTTCGCATCGTGTTTTTACATATTCGTAATTAAAATTTTTTTAATAAAATCAATTGGTGGTAGTTCATGATTGTGTGTGGATTAATATCACAACACTGAGGATTTGGCAATAACACTTTTCATCTGCTAAAAAAACAAGACTTACGCGGCAATGTTTATTGTAAGAACAACATTTTTTTCTATGAATCGACATACTTTAAACATTGTTGACGCTATTTCCATTTGAATGAGGAAAAAGCGTCAATGACTTCATTTCCAAATTTTTGTTAACTTTATTTCGCTTTTGAAAAGGCAATAATGTCAATTGACTTTATTTCGCACCAGGGTGGGAAATAAAGTCAATTGACCTTATTTCCGTTGATCTTGTTACCTGTCACCGGGAAAAACATGTTTTCGTAGAAATGGTATAGAATTTATGAAAATCAATATTTTTCGATAGAAAAACTTTGTTTCTCTTTTGAAGATTTTCAATAATATTACCCAATTGTTTATTTAACCATTTTATATGATTAACTATTTCTTATAGGACACCTAACACCCTCAAAAAATGCAATGGGGACCCATAAAAAATCGCTTGATGGAAGATTTTCGGAGAAACTCAAGTTAAGGCAGATTGATTTTACAGAATTCTATACAGTGTTGCCACTTTGTGAGTAATTCCTCAAAACGTGAGGAATTTCGGGTGCGCGGGAGTATTTTTTGAGGACTTTTATTTTGAGGAATTTTCTCTCGATATATTTGTAGATAACAAATGCAACCATGTTTTAGACAAGAGAGTTGTTAAACCGCTCTGCAAATTTTTGAACAAAAAGCTTTCCGAAGTTTTATAAAGAACGAAATACACCACACAAGCGTCTTGTCAAACGTTCTTCAAACCTACTTTTCCCATTTTATTTATTTATTCAAGTCTATGAAATACAGGTTTCTTATTCGCCGTACACCATGGAAATAAGGGTATTCATCAAACCTTATAAATGCATTGTAAGCCGTATAAACTTATAATTGTGTAAACCTTATAAATGAACTGTAAAAATTTGTATGGAAACTCGTTTACACATTTCTGATAAATTTCTCCAGCGATTTCACTGAATAAACTTGATAAACTGAAGCCAATGCAACTCTGTCGCAACTCTAGCCATTTTTTCTTGGGCGATAATCGGGATCCGCATAAAAATTGTGCACGCAAATTCAACAACGATATGATCCTGATAGAGATCGGGATCAATTATTATCGGTTCTGTTTGTTTTGTTTCACTGATAATTTGGCCGCAAAGTTTGGTAGCCGTGACAAATGAATTCATACACAAACAGACATTCTGCCATTGTTTCTTTTAACTTGCTTTATGTAAATAGCCTTT